GACCTGGTGCAGCCAAAACAGTCTGGAGCTCAATGCTCTAAGACAGCGGAGATGGTCGCAGACTTCAGAAAGAGCCCAGCCCCACCCTCCCCAATCATCCTGTGTGACTCCCCAGTCACCACTGTGGACTCCTGCTTCCTGGGCACCATCATCTCCCAGGACCTCAAGTAGGAGCTGAACATCACCTCCATCATCATAAAGGCCCAGCAGAGGCTGTACTTCCTGCGTTCATTCCTAAAGACAATGATGGTGCACTTCTACACCGCCATCACTGAGTCCATCCTCACCATCTCCATCTGGTACGCTGCTGCCACCACCAGGGACAAGGGCAGGCTGCAGCGTATCATTCGCTCTGCAGGGAAGATGACTGGCTGCAATCTTCTGTCTCTTCAGGACCTGTAATATTGCAGCTGACCCCTCCCACCCTGGACACAAACTGTTTCAGACTCTCCCCTCTGGCGGGAGGCTGCGGTCCATCAGGACCAAAGCCTCTCGCCACAAGAACAATTTCTTCCCGATGGCAGTGGGCTTCCTCAACAAGGCCCGGGTCCCCACTGTCAGTGACTCTCATGCCCCCCCTCCCCAAACTCACACAGGCACTCTGACCCCCACACTTTACAACAACGCTCATCTGTGCTTTACGCTCATGTTGCCAACATTTGCACACAAACTTGTCAGCATTGTATTTTTTATATACACACACAATTTTTTGATCTTACTTTTTATATATTTTACTATGTTTTATGTGTACTGTAAGCAACAAGCCAAATTCCTCATGTGAAAATGTACCAGGCAATAAACCCGATTCTGATCGGGGAAGATCCATTACATTCCTAAACTCCTTCAAAGCCAGTTGCCCATAACGTTCATCAAGAGCATTGGTAGCTTGGGTGTACGGGTCAGAAGCATAGGAGAAGGCAAGAGCTAATCGCTTGGCTTGATCCACTTTCAGATGGTCAAGAAAGTGATATTTAAATTGCTCCGTCTCATTAGGGTCAAATAGGTTACCAAGTGCCATTCGTAACATCCTGTACTGCATTTCATCCTCTCTGATGAGATCTGCGAAAGAAGGGCCCTCAAGCTTGTAGACATGGTTCTGCCAGTAGGTGGTGCTGAAGGTTTCTGTTCAGTGGTCATTAGATATTGACTGAGGCTGGGAGGAAAGAGAAATAAGAGGCTGAGCAGGGTTTACAACCGGAGGATTCAAAGGCTGAACTTTGAGCGTGACTCTCTGCTGCAGGAAAACTTGAAGGTAGCAGGTTTTGTGAAGAAAGGATAGGCCTAGGCAGACCAGCTGAAGGAATTGCATCATTAAGGATTGACAAGTTAGGTAAATAGGGCATGACAGAGGAAACAGGATGACAGCTGACCTCTGGTGGACAAGAGGATGACTGACATGGTGGCTTAACCCTTGGAGATAAAAAGCCTTGCTGGTTTGCTGGAGAAGTTACTGGTACGTTATACACAGATTGTCTTCTACTTGTAGATGACCCAGATGAATGAGTAGATGATCTATTCATGCAATATTGAATAACCCTCATTGTCACTAAAGTCTCCATGATTTCAACCTGATCAGTAGGTACAGGTTCATCAAAATCAGTTAAAGCCTCAATGTCAGGCTCCTGTCTCCGTTAATCATCTTGGTCATCCTGGAACCCATGTGTGTCTGTTGTATGCAACATGCATTCTGTTTGACATGCAGCACCTTTAACTCTTGGATTTTGGACTTGATAATCTTGTAGATGGGTGGTGGTTAAAGAGTCCCATCTAATGGCTGGTAGGCTTAAGGACCATGTAAAGTAGGAGGTTCAAAAGGTACATTTACTATCATCATTCGGTGCATCGGTCAGAATGCATAGAAGTAAGCCAGGAAACTTGGAATATCCTCTGAACAACATTTTATTTCTTCCAATGTAAAGGATGCATTTGTCAACATAATCAGGCAAAAAAACAGACACATAATTTTAAGATTAAAAACTAAACTCACATGTCCATTTCAAGGAAAGACAAACATCAAGTTTTTCATAAACATAGGATAGAAGTGAGAGTAAATTAAACTTCTCTTACCAGAACTGCCGCCCCATGTGGAAGTGAAAGGGAGTGCAGTCCTTAAATAGTGTGAACAGGTGAACTCAATCAAGTCAATTAGGAATGAAAGGTAAAAGCGGGAGCCAATCAGTGATGAGAAAAGGAACTAAAGGAAGTGAGGTAAAGGAAGTGAGGTCTGTGAAAGGAAGTGAATAAAAATAAAGATAAATCGAGGATCTTTACTACAGTGGTCATCAAAATAAGTACTTGAGGACTAGTACAAAAGTATTTACTAAAAATGTACTTAAATAACGAGTAACTTCATGAGTAACTTAAATAAAATATAAAAAACAATGGCTTTTCCAATTGCTTTTCCCCCAAGTCTTTTATTGGATGTGGATGTGACTAGAATTATTAGACAAATAGTCTTTCTCAGGTAAAGAAATTAACATACACTTGCATTAATTTGTAATGAAATTACAAGTCATCATCTCCTGATTAGACAACCTGCCACATTTATACCAGGACAATATTCCCAGTGTGAATCCATCAAGTGTGATTACAAAATGAAACATTATATCAGTCACATCCACATGAAATAAGAGAAGTTTGTCTTTTTTGTGTGTGCATAATTTGATCTCTCTTCAACAGGCTATACCAATGAGCATGACTCGTTAAATGCATGTTCAGACACTGTTAGCTTGAATATTTACATTAAGGCAGAAAGCAGGAGGAGTTTTTAAGCATGAAGCTATTTATTATTTAACATATTAGCATTAACACAACAGACACTGCTCTCTGTCAGCTCAGTGTCAGCATGGTGTAGCCTAGCCTACAGACTTCACAACCGAAACCCGCAGCACCAACACGGTCTCTTCCCAGGGCATCCGATGCCAATGCTTTGAGAAAGCCTGACAAAGCGGGGCTGGCTGCATGGTGCAATAAATTTAAACCTGTAGCCTAAATAGTGCCATTTGAAAGCCATACTACCATGCTGTAGCTTCAGCCATTATTCTGCTATAACAGGGTCATGTCCATGCGTGACTGCGGTAAATAAATAAGTAGCGAAGTAGCGTGATGAATGTATCCAAATGTATCGGAGTAAAAGTAATGATTTTTCTCTTAAAAACTATTGAAGTTAGAGTAAAAGTATTGTTGCGTTTTTTCAGATTTTGAGAAAGGAGAGGCTCAGTCCAATTACTGCGGTAAATAAATAAGTAGCGAAGTAGCGTGATGAATGTATCCAAATGTATCGGAGTAAAAGTAATGATTTTTCTCTTAAAAACTATTGAAGTTAGAGTAAAAGTATTGTTGCGTTTTTTCAGATTTTGAGAAAGGAGAGGCTCAGTCCAATGAAAATTAACAAAAAGATTTAATTACAAAAATTTGTGAATAAAGAGATGGCATTACAGAACAAACAAATAACACTGCAGTGGACTGAAAAGTTGGTCCTCCGTTCAGATTTACAGCTTTCAGTCAAGTCCGAACAGACTGAGCTAAAGCTGCCTCCAGCAGTGGACTGAAAAGCTGCTTCTCCTCCCAGATCCACAGCTTACAGTCCTGATTCTCACAAAATGAATTGTTAATATCCTCCAGGTATGTGGATGGGTCTTTTCCTTCAAATGGCTCAGGACCATAGCCATTGGTCATTTGGTTACTTCTTCGTCACCCAATAAGGAAGGGTGTACCTTACTGCTCTATGATACTTTTGGTCGAACAAAAGAGCGCCAATTCCCAGACGTGAAACCCCCTTCAATCTACAGGATAAAACAGTCTTTTGCTCTAAACTAATCATGGAGAACAACAGGGCTTGTCTACAAAATGGTTGACACCCTGTCTTAAGTGTCAATGAAACAGTCAAAAAACTGTCCTTCTGGCACTAAACAAAGAGGTGTCAGTTTTCTTTACATTACAAAGAGGACAAACAATGGTTTAATCAACATTCTAATGCAATTGTCTGGCCTAAAACCCAGCAGGTTTACATTTGAAGAAGGCACTGAAACACTGGAGTACATTAAGTTTGTTGTAACTTTTTAAAACTCAACAGTATGATGCATTAAAACTACTCTGACAAGTACAATTTACAAAAAAAAGTTAACTGAGTAGGCTACATGTAACGTTACATTACTACCCACCTCTGCCAATGGGATACAAAAACACACACACACACACACAGACACACACACACACACACACACACACACACACACACACACACTTGTAGCCTCTTCAAATAATGTGTAAGCTGATAGCTGGGCTTGTGGCCGCTTTCATACTAAAGCTCATGATCTGTTTGATCACGCAGACTTTGTCATAGAAATCGGCTGAAGGTCAATTTGTTACCACAAATGATACATGTCAACTGTGCGCTTCCTCTACCTATCTAACTATCTTTTCTGAGGAGCTAAAGATGTGTGTTTGTGAATAAATCAGTATTGTTACCCAGACATGTAAGATACTTGTAGATGCTAGTGAAGTTACAGAGCTCTGTCAGGAGAACATAGATGAGCACAGGTTTTTGTGCACATGTGCCTATATTTGTTCATGTGACAAGTATATGGAGAGGGCGACCATGGGGATAAAGTCAGTGGTCGAAGTACACTCAGAGGCAGATAACACTGGTGCGCACACACACAAACACAAGTAATTCATCCAGGCCTGCAGAGTTTATGCCATCAGAGCTCTGTGTACAGCGTACAAACAGGCATTCCTCATAAGATTACCACTGATTACCCTGTAAGACCACACACACCCACACACAGTCATACTCCCACACCAAAATATGCTAATGAAACATGTTCACAAAGCACTCACTCACTAATTTAATCACTCACTGTATAGACAGTACAAATGCTCAGACACAATGTATTCCCTTCCTTCCGACCAAGAAACATTTATCAGCCCTGCTTTGAACCTTGTACCCAAAAAAAGGCTTTTGTTCTTTTCCACTCCATCTGTCACTCCCTCTGTTTTCTTTTCCTCTTTATTCATTCTCTCACCCTCCTCGTTCCAAACTACATTATTTAATCAATAACTGAAGAAGTGCATGTGTTGTATTTATAAACCCAGATAGACCGATTGCTCTCTCTTTCCCCAATTCCTCCCTCCCGCCCTCCCTTGTCCCTTGGCTTTTTTCCCTTCTCACTTCTTTTTCTGTCTTTGAATGGAGAAGCTGGGTTCCCTGGAACCTCCACGCCCGTCCCCGGGTGCAGGGCTTGTTGCTGGGCCTGTTGCTGGGGTGTCTATTGCCAAGACAGCAGGGGTTGAGGGAGACGAGGCGGCAGCAGCGGTCAGCTCCAAACTGTTTTGGTGTGCATGCGTTACACGTTGGCTACCATTGGTCTATAGAGAAGAACTTTACCAAGTCTTATGGCTCACGGGCCCACTGGTGAGTAGGGGAAAGTTGAAGTGTTGGTGGGGGGGATTGGTTTTTCACAAAGTGCCATGATACATCTGGTAACTCCTTTGTTACAAAGTTAGTGTGTGTTAATGTGCACAGAGTACAATCTAACAGTTAACAGTTCTGAAATATACATGTAGTTTGCAAAAGGTAAATTAAAATGGTGCCTATCCTGTATGTTAGTGCAAACCTGTCTGTGCTTGGTGATTTCACAACACTGCTCTCTAACTTGAAAACTACTTTGCTGAGTACAGATACGCTGTGTGAACCCATTTTATCAATGATTTGCTGCATCAGTTTCATCTAATCAATGATGGGCTGTTTGGAAAATAGTCAGATCATTTTATTTGTTTCAACAGCTGCTGTCTCGGATTCTGGACTTCCTCCTGCCGTTTGTTAGCAGCATATTCTGTGGTCACATCGGCAATGCAGAACTGGCTGGATACGCTCTGGCCTCAGCGGTACATGCTTTACTCCATTGTAGACTAATTGATTTTACCTGCTGCAACAGTAGTAAAACTACTACCACTACTCTTGTACTACTTCTACTGCTGCTACTGCTCCTACTTCTATTACTGACAGTAAATTTCTCTATTACTCACAATTAGAGTATCATCAGTATTTTTGTGTGCATGCTGTATAACATAGTCCAGGTCTTCAGCGACGAGTGACTGATGGTGGTTGGCTGATGCTCATTTTGTTTACCTTTAAACACCGAAAGGACTGAACAATATTATTATATTCCAAAAAGGTGCAGAAAGGTGTGGGTGGAGATCTTTTTCTCCAATATTCACACTTTTTCACAAAGTTTCACTTTTTTACAGACAGATATTGAGGAGGAGATTGAGGTTTCTTTTGCAAGACCTGAGAGCAGCAAAAAAACAAAAACCTTATTTAGTCACACATGCCTGATGATGCACATAGACATCAGCTCCAGTTTGGTCTGAAAAAATCTCTCTCTCCCCAAACACTTGTTTACACTTGGCTGTCTGCCATTTGGCGCTGGGCAAATAGTATAACGTTGGCTTGAGAGAACATTGTGTGTTGGAAATGGGTACCCACAGTTCACAGGAGGGGAATAGTGAGAACACTTGGCACTGAACTATATGAATCTGCAGTCAATGAGCTGAAATTGGCTAAAATTTGCAACCTGCTGCAGACTGCAGAGTTGATTCTCAGTGGTACTGGATGTATCAACCTTTTCAAAAATTGTATTCCATGTTAATATCAAGAACGTGACAGTTATTCTGACAACATAGGTGTACGCCAGGGGCGATGCTAGACATAAAGCTCTACTGGGGCGCAGGCCCCCTCATCCCTCATGTACATTTTTGATTGAAGTGTATGAAATGTGCTAGTATGTACCTTATCAGCTTCCCTCATTAATATTGGCTCTGTCAGGTCAGGGCTTTGAGTGGAGCATGAGCAATATGTCACCACCTAAGAAGAATTTTGTCATGGCCCTCCTATTTGACTTGTGAGCCATGTAAACAATTTGCAATTGCTGCACAGTCACACCTGACACTGCATTGCTCTGACAACTACCTCTCCAGTCTGTCTCTGTAATACGCCTGAATGGAAACCTCTTCTAGAAAAATCCTCATAAAGTCTGTTAAGACTGCTGCTGGCGGTACATCTCTGGCTATGCTTGTACTGGCTGTATTTCACCTGGGTCTGTGCTGGTACTGATTTTGGATAAACTGTGCTTGTACTGGCTTATGATCCAGCATCTACTTTACTGACAAATTTAAGCATAGCCACTGTAAATAATATATATCAATTCTTGCTAGATAATATTATCAGCTGCATCAGGCCCATTAAAACTGGCTCCCCCTGTTTCCTTTAACATGTTTAAAGCTAAAATACTATTTATACTAGGGCTGGGCGACACGTCCAAAAATGACGCCAAGGGGTTCTGACAATTTTACTGGGGCACAGCACATGGATACAGGGATACGTGCCCCAGTAAAAAGGGTCTAGCGATGCCTATGGTCTATGCTGTAGTTCTGATTGAGCAGACCTGGAAAATCCAATCCAATCTGGACATCCAAGAAGTTAAACCTGATCAGCAGAAACGAGCATCAACTAAAGGGATAGGTGTACTGCACCTTGAGGACAATTTTCCTTATACAGTCTTTGAAATCTGCAGTCACATGGCTGCACCACTTATTGTAACCTCTTCAGCTTTCCTGCATGCTTTGTGCGGGGTTCCAGCATCTTATCACCAGTTTCCTTTGGAGAATATCCAGTGTACAGCCCTCTGTCTTTTTTGAAGAAACTACAGCAATATCCTGAATGTTCTGGTGCAGGATGTAATGTACTGAGTTAGGACACAGTGACACTGCAGTGCAAGGACATAGAATTAGGTAGAGACGGTAGGTATTAACTTTAACCCAAACCAAGATGTTTTCCTAAACCTAACCAAGTAGTTTTGTTTGCATAAGCCTAACCAAAGTGCGACAGTTTCACAATGTTGACCACATGTTTAATGTCATGTGAATTACGTCACCTGACTTACGTAATATAATTAAGGTCCGGTCGTCTGTCGCTGGACTGGTCAGGAAACACTCTTTTATGTCGTTTAACACTAATAATTCTCCGGGGGCAGACCCCCCATTTAATAATTGTCCTCTCCAGTTTTGAAACAAAACCTACACCCTTGCCGGAGTGAATGCGCCCAGTCCATTCACTGCAGCCAAGTTTGTGGTGAGTCATCAAAATACCAAATAGAGCAAGAGCCAAGAAGTAAACCTGTGAGCACTCTACATAAATGACATTAATTCTTCCAATAACGGTACTTTGTTTTAGACATTGCAGGCTTTGCTGCTTCCTCCTTCTGAAGCATTTTCTCCATGCACATTTTTTAATGTTTGCTGTTGCTGTTACTCTACCCCATAAACAGTACCTGTTGCTTAACCATGGGCTTTTCCACTCTTGCTGCACCTGGCCTACAGCATTCATATGTGTGAACATACTGTGCCTGCCGGACTGCTTTTCTTGGAATCAGATCTATGAAATAGTTTCCAGGAACTATCAAACTTCATTTACATTTGTTGCTGAAACAGCTGATGTGTACGAGATCACACTAATGTACATATTACATTATGGGCATAACCAAGAAAAGGACAATGAGTAAAAGACATATAACATTTTATAATTAACGTCTAACTTGCAGTTTTTCTTCTCTAATATTCTTGTATTTGATTCTCCACCTCTCAGACCATTAACGTGACCACAGCTTCAACCGGCTATGGCCTTGCTGTGGCTTGTAACACACTCGTTTCTCAGGTGAGCAAACCACATTATTTGTGCATTGTTGTTTTTATGTGTTATCTATGGAAAGGTACATATTTTTCCTATGTCATCAGAGTCACTTCCCTTTTTTCTCATATGTGTTTTATAGACATTCGGCAGTAAGAACATGAAACGTGTAGGAATGATTCTCCAAAGGAGTTCATTGATCCTGCTGCTGTTTTGTCTGCCCTGTTGGGGTCTTCTCATCAACTCTCACAACTTACTGCTCATCCTGTACCAAGAGGTTGAGGTGGCAAGGTAAATTCATAGTTTATGAAATCAATTAATACCTTAAACAGTGTGTGTGTGTGTGTGTGTGTGTGTGTGTGTGTGTGTGTGTGTGTGTATGTGTGTGTTCTACACATTTGTGTCGGTGCGAACAAAATGCTGATGCAATGATGAACAGTTGTTTAAGGAACAAAAATAGTGCTGTGTTTGTAATTCTTATTACCAGTAGTAACACTTTAGCCCCCAATGTACAGCATAATCAATAAATAATGTGATCTTACAAAAACATATACTGTAGTTATCTTATAACTACTGGGTACCTATAGTATAATTAATTGGCTACTTACCGATGCCACTGTTTCCTTTTTCAGTTCCGGTTTTGTTTTCAGTGCCAATATTTAATGTCACTGTTAACTAACAGTGCTTTAGATTACAACCCACATAGTATTGGGCTCTAATCTAAAGCACAGTTAGTTCTCCCTTGTTGCATTTAGTTACAGGGTAACGTAAAGCACTTTTGGTGCTAATGCTCTCACATGTTGACATGACATGACATGAGTGGCAGGGCTGGGACTTGAACCCAAGTCTCCCACATAAAGGAGCAGAGATCTATTCTTTAGCCTTCAAGTCAGATGGAGATTTTGATCATGTTCCCAACCAAATTAACTCCTGGATCAGTAGGAATAGTTACCCAGCAGTTAGTTCTTTATAAGATCCTGAATTGTAACCAACTTTTTTCATAACTTCACATTTTGCCCCCCAGTACCTTCATATATGTATTGGTATTTAGCTTATTGTACTGGTAAATCGTTGGGACAAAAGATACAACTGTGGAGTAATTATACTGTATGTTGCAGCCTGTAATCTAAATGATTACATATTTTCATAAACCTACAAAATGCTTTTAAGTGTAGTTTCCCTACACTTAAACATATTTTAAGTGAATATTATATATGCAGCTTTAGACGCCTGGATATGTGATTCTACCTACATGTAGAATATTACAGTTAGATGCCTGTCATTTTATTTTGAGGAACTAAAGCAACAAAAGACTTAAGATTTAATGTGAACAGACACACAGTCTTGATTATATCGACTTGCAAAAAGAGGGGCATATTTGAGCAGAAAGTGAATTATTGTGTTCGTGTTTGCTCTACTAAATTGCTAAATTAATAAATGTAATGTAATGTAAATTAATATTACTCTGTTTTCTTCCCCTGCAGAATTGCCCAGCTCTACGTGATGGCATTTCTTCCAGCTGTGCCAGTAAGTGCACTGAACTTAAACACTCCCCAGAGTCTGAAAAAATATAATGTGGTCTCCTGGGGTACAAAAACGTTTTCTGCCTAAATCACTACATGTTGTATTTTGCAATATTTTGCACTTACGTGAATTACAGGATTAACACATTAGGACGCACTATGAAAGCATCCATTGCACAACTCTGATGACTAACTGAGTCTTTTAGCTTATCAAAAGATTGGATGTGTGCTCCACTGTTGGTCAGTTAAATACTGAAAGATCGTACTCTCTGGCCTTGTCTTCAAGCCCTGCAGCGTGTTTATTTGCACACATTATACTAGTGTATAATCTGACCACTAATCCCTGTAATCTGATGAAATTTTGCTTGAGCCTTGAATGACCCAAATTTAGTAATAACTTTTTTCATGATGCTTCAAAGATGTGAAGTAGAAAAAATATTTAGAACAAAAAAATAAATGCAGAAATATTTAATAATAGCAGATAAGTGGTGAAAATTCAATGTTTATTTCCCCCTGCGTTGATGAATTTACTTTAATACATTTTTCCAACATTGCTAACAATTTCATTGTCTAGAAAAAATCCTGTTCCATCTAATTCTCTCCATGACTTTTCTTGTACACAAAGTTAAAGTAATTAAAGTGGTCATATTATGATTTTTGTCTTTTTAACTTTTGTTTTTTCCTTTATTGTGTTATATATCTTTTTTGTGTATGCAATAGTTGAAAAAGTGAAAAAGCCCTTAATCCACCCTAAAGAGAGTTCCCATCTCCCACAGAAAACTATGCTCCTGAACTGCCTGAAAACAGCTTGATTGTAGTCCAGCTTTTACTTCCATCACGTATCATAATGCTCACCTAGCGGCTACTGTGGCACGCCCATGAAAACACTGATGGAGAAACACACTGAGCTGCAGCACACACAGTGACAATATGTCATGAATGTAATGTATTACATTTTGGAAGTAACTTGCCCAACACTGTTAACTAGGTACTGCGCATGTGCAACTCCGACAAAGATCTAATAGAAATTAGATGCTTCACTTGAAGCTAAACTGAGCGTTAAAACACAGGGTGAAAAGAGGTGCTGCAGCAAGATGCAGTATGACAAAAATGTGGTGTTTTTTGAAAAAATTTATTATTTTGGTACAACCCCTAAATAAATGATGAACCTTAAAATGAGCATAATATGACCACTTTAAGGAAACACATGAGTAGCTGCATCTTTTCAGCAATGTGCATAAAAACAGATAATAATGAATGCCTACACTCCGGACATTTACCATTCTTATAATCAAACTAAACTGTAGAAATGACACATTGATTCAAAAGCACGACAAGTAATCCATCTTTTTCCATCATCTTGTGCTTTCTCCAGTTACCTCCTTATTTTGACTGAGATAATCCAGTTAATGTGTTTAGTTAGTTAGTTGTAGTAATTGGAATATTCCCCATTAATATGTCTTTATCAAATTAATAGAATGCATGTTCACACAAAATATCCACATTTTGGAAATGCATCAATGGCATAGTCAACACACAGTAGTATTGACAGAAAAACTACTTAATATTTCTCCACACATCAAAGTTGTTTGGTATCTGGAAGGTCTACCAGTTTTAATCCACTTTTCCTCTCCTTGCTACAGGCCATGTTCCTTCACCAGCTGCAAGTTGCCTACCTGCAAAACCAGGTAAGTTTATAAAAGGGAACATATTTGTTTCTCCTGCACAAAATTTCAGTGAGTGCCCCGCGTTAAAGTATAGACTGCAATGTGTTTGTTTCCACAAAATTCATTGTCATTGCGAGGATGTTAACATGCTAATAATAGCATAAAACACTGCTGTGACTAACGACCTATCCAAGCTGCTAGCATGGCTGTTTTTACTGCAATTTATTTGATTATCTCGAACCTGTATAAAGAAAATTCATGCATATTAGCTCTACCAATTGGATACCTGATTGTGTCTTTTTTGTCTGTCAGGGGATTATTCTGCCTCAGATGTACACAGCAGCGGCAGCAAACATTTTCAACTTGGGGGCGAACTACGTCTTAATCTTCAGCCTCCAGCTGGGTGTCATGTACGTGTGTCACACTGTTTCTCCGCACCTTTTCATTTTTGATAGACTTTGTGTTGCTTGATGTGGTATCAGGCTTCAAGTACCATGACCACTAAAATATACCAGTTAAGCCACTGTAGTTTATCACTTCACTGCTGTCCAAATATGAGAGGGATCTTGGCTGATGCATAACCAGGAGTTTGGAAAGAAGAGAACAGGAGATCCAGAAACACATTATGCATTTTAATTTAAGGAGAATGATTTGTTTTTTGTTAAAAGAGAGTCAGACGGACACTGATGTTTGTTATTTTTGTACTTTATTTAGAGAGGGGGGCAGTGTAGGGCAGAAAAAGAAGAGAGAGCTCTGGCAGGAGTTGATCCTAGTCCAGCTGGACAAACATTTGATTCAACAGGCAGTCGACTTATCCAATCACGTCTCTGTGGTGGGGTCAGGTCTGTCCCTTCCCTCCCATATTTACATATTGAATTTTTAAGGATTATTCTCAGACCCTCAGTCATCCAGTACTGCACAAACGACAATGTTACTTTAACTGTCTGGATCCTGAGCTCCTTCCAGTTAATGTAGGCTGGCACTAGACATCCCTCCAATATAAAAACATCATGTGTGTTTGCAGTGGATCAGCAATTGCTAACAGCCTCTCTCAGATCGCCATCTGCCTGCTGTTGTTTGGCTACATCAGATGGAAGAAGCTCCATAAGCAGACATGGGGAGGTGAGTTCTACAAACAAATATGAATATAAGTAAGTGACCAAATCAGCTTTTCTCTAAATGGTTGCTCTCTACGGGCTACACAGAGAATAACCCTTAACTAACCCTTCTGTGTGAAACTTTCTGCAGGCTGGTCCACTGACTGTCTTCAGGAGTGGGGCTCCTATATGAAGCTGGCTATTCCCAGTGTTTTCATGACCTACTTTGAGTGGTGGATCTGGGACATTGGCGGTTTCCTTGCTGGTCAGTGTTGTTTGCCCCAGCACCCCACACACAAATCTTGTTCAAACACACACTTGCTTTTGTTGGTATTGAAGTGAAGCCAGAAAGGGTTTAACCATCAAAAGATGTATCACCAACATCTTGTAAGCTTTTACTTCAAAGACCATCAGAGTAATTGTAAAGTTATTCCAATCACATAAAACATTATTATATTATATTATTATATTATATTGATAATTGAAATATCAGAATCAGAATCAGCTTTGACTTGAATCTGACTCTGGATTGTACATTGCTCACACAGACTTCAGTGTAGACATCACAAATATACACACTATGAAAAAAAAACAATATTGACATTGACAAATAGTGCAGTGAGCAGAGTGCAAAGGATGCAGGAGTATGTACATGTATGAGGTGGATGTGTTATACAGTTACATAAACATGCATACATGTACACATGTACACAGTGTGATGAAGCATAGTGCAAAGGATTCTGGAATAAATAAGTATTTTGTGCAGGAGTGATGACTTGAGGTAGGTGGATTTGGTATACAGTATCTACAATATGACAAAATAACAGTATGAACAGCACTGAAATAGAGAATGGTGAATAAATAAATAATAAGTGTTAGCCAGTAAACAGGTGCTGATTAGAGAAAGAGTTACTGGGTTATTGCACAGGAATTGTTCCTGACACTGTGAGTCAAAAATCAGCTGTTCATCAGAGTGATGGCTTGTGGGAAGAAACTGCTTCTGTGTCTGTTAGTTTTGGCGTACAGTGCTCTGTAGCACCTACCAGAGGGGAGAAGCTAGAACACGTGGTGTCCGGGGTGAGATGGATCTGCAGTGATGTTTCCTGCCTGTTTCCTGACTCTGGAAATGTATAAGTCCTGAATGGAGGGCAGGTTGGCACCGATGATCTTTTCTGCAGTCCTGACTGTCTGTTGTAGTCTGTCCTTGTCCTTTTTGGTGGCAGATCCAAATCAGACAGTGATGGACGTGCAGAGGACAGACTGGATGATGGCTGTGTAAAAGCAGATCAGCAGGTCCTTAGGCAGGTTGAGCTTCCTGAGCTGGCGCAGGAAGTACATCCTCTGCTGGACCTTCTTGATGATGGTGTCTGTGTTGAGCATCCACTTCAGGTCCTGGGAAATAGTGGATCCTAGAAACCTGAAGGATTCCACAGCAGACACAGGGCTGTTGAGTATGGTGATGGGGGGCAGAGTGGGGGGGGCTCCTCCTGAAGTCCACCATCATCTCCACAGCTTTGAGCGTGTTAAGCCAGGTTGTTCTGACCTCACTAGAGAGCCAGCTGATCAACCTCCCGTCTGTAGGCCAACTCATCACCGTCCTGGATGAAGCCGATGACCACTGTGTTGTCAGTATACTTCAGGAGTTTGACCGATGGGTCTCTTGAGGTGCAGTCGTTAGTGTAGAGGGAGAAGAGCAGTGGGGAGAGAACATACCCCTGGGGGGCGCCAGTGCTAATAGTCTGGGTGCTGGATGTGATGTTCCCCAGTCTCACCTGCTGACCAGGAAGTCCACTGACAGGTGGAGGCGGGCAGAGTGAGCAGGGTGAGTTTGGTGCTGAGGATGTCCAGGATGATGGTGTTAAACGCCGAGCAGAAGTCCACAAACAGGATCCTTGCATATGTCCCTGGAGAGTCGAGGTGTTGCAGGATATGAAACATACTTAACTCCTGATAGCATTTGTTCAGTATTACCAGTGCCAAGTCAAATAACTTTTTATATAACACAGCAAAAAGGCGTATAGAGTTGTTTTCAACCAGCTAAAGAGCTGATCCTAGTCTCTAATTTTGAAAAGTAACTGCGACAACTTAAATTCACCTTATTTATTGCTTTATTTTGGATATGGACGCTTTCCACCAGCAGTATGCGATTACTTGAAAATTAGGAGAATTATCTAAATGTGCCATATGTGTGCCATGTAACATTTGACCTGTCAGAATAATAAACCAGCATGCTGCACACTCAGCTGTGTGTATTTAATGACTGTTGGGTCAAACATTTGTACAAAGTGTCTTGGTGTAGCTTTTAGGCATGTTGGGAAAGTCCTTGTAAATGTCTTAATGAGACCTTTATCTTATCAGGTGTACTTGGCGAGGTGGATCTTGCCGCTCAGCATGTGTTGGTGGAAATAGGAGCCATAATATATATGGTATGGATTCAGTGTGTTCACTTATACATTTAAGTGCATATTATTTAACAATAATTAAGAATGTTGGGAAATAAGCTTATTCAGATCCCTACCACCCTTATGTCTGTATGTTAAGCAAGGACCTAGATTTATTATGCGATTAGCTTAGCTTAGCTTTAAGACTGGAAGCAGAGAAAAACAGGTAGCTTAGCTATCTTTGAAATATATTGGGAAAAATATGACTACCTACACCTCTAGAGCTCACAAATTACACATTGTATCTAATTTGTTTTATTTAGAAATTGAATGGTTTGTAGTTTTGCGGGGAGTTACATGCTGTAACTGTATTTTGGCAAAGCATGAGTTGTGTTTCACACACTGACATGAAAGTAGAATCAGCCTTTTCATCAAACTTTCAGAGGGAAAGTGAATAAGCATATTTCCCCAAATGACCAAATATTTCTTTATGTCAGCTGTGTAACTGACACCAAAAAGAAAATTGAGGTCCTTGCAGTTCCCTCTAGGTATCCATGGTGCTGCCTGTGTGCGTGTTGGGAATGCTCTGGGGGCCGGGAATACTACTGGGGCCATAGTCACCTGCAAAGTGGTCCTGGTTTTAACAGGTATGAAGACACATACGCAGATGAAGTACTTGTAAACGCAAACATACACAATTAATGTAATCTAAAACTTGCCCACTGAGAATTCTTGATTCTGATTGGTTCAGCTACATGAAGGTTTAGCTAAAGAGCTTGAAGTTTATTTTAATTGTGTAAGCACACACACACACACACACTAGAGATCCACAATAGATAAATACCTGTAGGAAACATACAACTTTAATTTCATGTGTTTGATATTTGCTTGAATCTGGAGGTAAATCATGCATTACAAGCGCAGAACGTACAACTTGTCAGGTGTTATCCTCTATGTAATGTCTTCGCTATAGGAGTACTTGCTGTGTTCCAGGGTTTTGTCATCGCTGGCAGTAAGTCCGTCGTTGGCTACATATTTACCTCTGATGAGTGAGTTTCAGACCAACACACAATCATTCACCATTTAAAGGCAACTCTGGTTTTGATGATCTTCTACTGTCCGCAGAAATATTGTGACGATTGTCTCAGAGAACCTCACAGTCTACGCATTTGTACAAGTCTTTGACACACTTCTGGTATGCAGTTCTGGTTTTACATTGAGTACATTGTACACATATCAGTACACATAGCTGTTTGCTTGTTTAGTTGAATCAATGTCTTTTTGTGGTTTTAATTTGTGTGTGTGTTTTCAGTGTGTCTGCTCAGGGATTCTTGTAGGATCTGGGATGCAGAAAATTGCTGCCGTGTCCAACCTGGTGTCTTACTACTGCATCGGCATGCCAGTAGGAATAGCTCTGATGTTTGCTGCCAAGCTCAGAGTAAAAGGTAATGCTTTCATTCCATTCTATCTCTGTATGTTTCTGCAAACAAGATATAAATGAAAATGAAATAAATACAGACATTCCAGGTCTGAAATGTTCAAAACCCCAGCTGTTTGAAATAAAGACAATTCTTTGGTTTTTAATGACAGGGATTTTAATTTTATTCTGAAATGTTTTAATTATGACATATTTTGTCTATAATCACCTATATGCTATTAAAAATCCCAATATTTAATGTATAATATATAAATATTTAACAATAAACATAAACATGAGTCATAATATTGTTTAGCTGAAAAGACCTATATAGTCATTTTTCTGTTGAGGGCAGGCTCGAAGAATGCGCATTCTCATCTCACATAAAATGTAGTACTTTGATTTCATGCAAACAAGAGCACTAAATCCAGCTTCACACAATTAAGTGTTTGCAGGCAACCATATATTTTAAATGCCAGTGTCATTTTTGGGTAGCTAGATGATCCACAGTAGTGATGTGCGGATCGATCCTAAAGTATCGATATTTCTGATACCAACGTTTCCTGCTCTAGGATCGATACTCATATAAAAGGATCAATATCTAAACTCAGTAATTTGGAGTGAGTGTGTGTTTTACCATAAGTATCTTACTGCCACCAGGATGGTCTAATTATAGGCTACTCGGCTGATAGGAACTACGTTTCCTTCCGCCTGTCAAAGTCATGCTTGCGCAATGGTTCTGTGACGGAGCTTCTTTGAAGTGAGCCGCTGCATCCCTTTACATTTCCATTGAATACAGACTCTGGCTGACTGTAAAAACAGTCACGTCTGGCTGTATTTTAGCTGTGAAGGTAATAATGATGCTGTGTATGATGTGTGTGCAAAGACAGTGAAATACTTTGGCAACACTGCAAACTTCGCTAAACATCTGAGATTAAGTCAAAATAATATGATGATATGAAGCGGCAGTTCTGAGTAGGATATTTTCATTATAATTAAACAATATGACAGTAGTTTGATGTCTTGTCATTATGCAGCTATTATTTTGAATTGGTAAAGCTACAGCCTACTCGTTTTTCTCTCATAAATACAGAAACGGGAGGGGGAGGTCACATTAAACTAGAAATAAAATATGTAAAAAGTATTGGTATTGGTAATACCAGCTTGGGTATAATTGGATTGGATAGGAATTAAGTGGTATCGCACATCACTAATCCACAGGGATTGCATCAAAGCTGATAGGTCAATCACCCAGTCAAACTTTTTGCTAACTTGCTAGCTTACAAGTTCATCATATGGTTATGACGCATACCATGTTATTGTGACCTCTGGTTCAACTTCGGCTGGGAATATTTGCAAGTCATCCCCCCCATTTCCCGTGTTAATTTGGTAGCTTACCACTTCCTTTGCGGATAATCAAACTATTCATTTTTAAGGGGTCTTTATGTTCTTATTTAGATGAAAGTATTAAAATTAACATAATTTAAAAGAGCACTCAAACAATTTAGAATTGGACTGTTAAACTAATGTTGGACAGTTTTTCAAAATCAATGCAGCAGTATAAAACATGTACATAGTGTCTGTGAAGTCACCTATTGGTTTCTGAAGAGACATTGTAAAGCTCAATGTGGGTGGCACCCAGCAGCTCTGCCAGCCACCATCTTGGCAGTGCCTGACTATGGCTAATCCAAAAATAGGCAAAGAGGTGGAGCTAAGGCTATTGGTTGCTGAACCACCAAACGGCTATCCAGCTGACAGCGCATCCACCTGTCTTTAATTAGGCATAATTTTTGCCTTAAAGGTTCAGTTTGTAATATCTCTGAGGATTTATTGACAGAAATGCAATATAATACCATAACTATGTTTTCAGTGGCGTATAAACCTTACATAATGAACCACTATGTTTTTATTACCTTAGAATGAGCTATTTCTATCTACATAACCGCGGGTCCCCTGCCATGGAGGTCGCCGTATTGTGTCGTCATGTTTCTACAGTAGCCCACAACAAACAGTACACAGAGCGCGTTTTGGCATCACAGCGTTCTTC